CTCAGGGCACATGATTCTCGGACCCAATGATCACTTACCCCACGGTGTGGGGAGTGGTCATTGGTTGATAATGCTGGCGCGCCCTCCAGAATGTATCGGGGCTTCGGGGGATAGGGCCTGACCAGCGCACACTACGGCAATTATATTACGATTATCCGTCTTGGCTCGATCTGAATCTGGTATCCTTACTCGAAAGCTTTGGCTTATTTCTGCAATAGGAAATTTTGCATTTGAACGCGCCAACATTTTTTCCGCTTGCTTATCAAGTGATTCTTTAGCTGCGTTACGAGCCTTTCAAATTTCGTCTGATTTTGCGTTGAGTAAAGATGCCTTTTCATGATCAGAATTTTCCTTTTCATTGCTCATATTGGCAGAAGGCTGTTGATCGGCTGCTCGCGGATTTTCATTTATTATGTCCACACTCACAGTGGATTGCTGATTTTCTGGTAGACTTTTGGAGAATGTTGTTCCAGTTCAGAAGGCTGTTGATTGAATGGTTGAGGGTTTTAATTCATTATGTCCACAGTAGCTTGCTGATTTTCTGGTTGAATATCAAACAACCGACTTCTTATATGGACCACGGGCCGTCGGGCATTATTGATAATGGTCGGTCAAAGTGATAAATTAATGACTTTGCCCATCGCTCTTGGGTATTATTATAAATGGCCGGTCCTTATTAATAATGCCCAGTTAAATACGTTATACTCCCAAACGAGCAACTCAATTTATCTAGGTCTCCATTCTTGAATTAATAAGTTTAATATACTTGATAATGGAATAAAACCCGAAACCGGTCGTATAAATGAAATAACTAGTGGAAATTAGAGAAAAGTCTTCTTATTCATTTCATTAGAGTAATCATGAATTTCCACAAAATAAATAAGTCATCAATAACAAATATTATAATGTCCATCCATTAACATCTCGAGCGATCATCAATTTGACTCTCGGAAACAAAGATCAACAGGCGACCTTCTACCTTATTATATCACCCATATTTGGAATCACGCAATTGAGTAACATGAAGAGTAAAGAGCTGTTGCGCTTGATATTTCTAACGCCTTTAAACGTGTGTGGCATAAGGGTTTGCTAGCCAAATTTCTATGCTATGGCTTGTCGGGTCATTTTTGTGTATTACTCTCCAGCTTCGTGGAATAACGTTCCCTGCAAGTGACCGTCGATGGATATCTCTCGAATACTTTCACCATCACCGCTGGTGTTCCCCAGGGATCCATTTTGTCTCCAACCTTCTTTTTATTGTATATCAATGACTTAGTGGAAAAAAACAAGAATCCAATATATTGCTTTGCTGACGACAGCACACACGTAATTCCATTTGGACTTCAGGACATTGGCTGCTGATGCACATCTTAACCGGAAGTTGCCACTTTCTACTTCAAAAAATTTGTTGGGCTACTCCTCAAAAGCTTGGAACACTGGCACTGTTTCGAACCAGACAACTCATCAACTTTTGATGCTTTATAAAGCCCAGATCACACCTTCTTTGGAGTATTATTCTCATGTAAGGTGCTCCGCCCTAAGGCATACCCTGAAGCTGTCAGATTCCATCCAAAAAAGAGCCACCCGCCTGATTGGAGACCCAAACATTACTTGCAACCTTGGTAGTCTGGAACATCGAAGAAATGTCGGAGATTTGTCTCTCTTCTATACTTTCACGGACAGCGTTCAAATGACTTGCCACATTAGATTTTAAGGGCGGTACATATCAGAAATACGCGATGGACTGTAGTTGCTCATCGTTTCGAGGTTCAACTCAATATACCTCTAACTTCACTGTTTTGGAACTTTCTCATTTGGAGAACTGCGTTCATGTGAAATAAACTTCCTGAGAACGTTCTGTACTTCTGTACTGCTTGTGATTCGTCCTCAAAAAAAATCACTTGTTTGTTCACCCAGTATAATAGTATTTTCGATGCTAGTATTCTAATGTCGATATTACGACTTGTTCATTCTATTGTATAATACCCGCATTATCGACAGCAATAGTTATTTTATTTCACTGTGGCAATTAGTTTATCTACGTCAATATACAGTGGATGGACGGATGAGTTCTGGTGCCTGAAAAAGGTATTTTCATCATATTTTTTACTCAAATCATTATGATGTGATCAGTAGTTCCTGATTCAACGGCTATTTTTATTCCATGATTTCATCTTATCACTGTTACTACGTTGGTCATGTCTTTAACATCAATACCTCTGTAAGAATATTTGAAGGTGGTTGACAATGTTTCGTAATGCATTTCATTAATTCAGACTTCCATTGTCTTCTTCCATTGTCGGGTAATCACCCGAAGACGATTGTGGATACTAATAATGGAAACGTCGTGAAGTAACTCGGCTTGTTAATGATTTTTTTTTATTTTCATCATCTTTTTTATTGTTTTCTGCCTTTTATTTCATTGTAGTTTCAGGTTTTTTGCTCAATATAATTGTTTTTTCAGCTAATCTTTTTAATTTTTCACAGATCCTTTCAGATATTTCAAATCTATTTATCAGATTAGACAATGGAAGTCCAAACTGATGAAATTCTCTGTAAGAATATTGTATACATGATGTTAATGATAACATGTAGATTATAAAATATGAAAATTCTCATAATCAGCGAAAATACTTCAATAGTGAAACTTTTCAGAATTGCTTCGAATAAGTGGGAACGATCAAATATTATCGTTACATGCTGTAATCATGTCGCGACCATAAACTTGACGTTCGAAAATACAGAAGTGGAGAAGTCTTTTGAGATGCCTATTTTGTCACCACCACCCTTGCAAAACAGTGTTTTGATTCCGTCGTCTTGGAAAATTCCGGATAGAACCACCTTGGACTCTGAAAGGTAGGGTATATTAAAAATCGGTCGGAAAGCTAATGTTTATTTTACAGGAGAGGCTCTCAAATTCATTCCATTGATGATTATGTGGAAGAACTGAAATTCATACTGGAAAAAGATTTGTTGGACGCTGATGGTGCTAAAAGCAACATCAACCTCAAAATCGCCAAATTGGAATCTAAGAAATTACAGGTAATCTAGTAAACATTATATTTGCGTACAATGATTCTCGTAAGATTAACAAATAGACCAAAATATTCAACGAAAGTCATTTTTTGTGGAGGAAAAAATCAGTTTTTTTATCGACCTTTTTTGGGTAATTGTTACCTTCCACAATCTGAAAAATATNCCTTTACTCTGTTACTGAGCTGTGATTCTAATAAATATCCTAATGGCTAAATACTTTGAACCTCATGATCTTGTAACAAGCTTGATTGTAGTTGATTCGTCCAAATGAATTGAAGGTTGAAGGTTTTAGATGCATTTGATATATTATCTTCATTTTCGACTGTTTCTATAACGAAAAATTTCGTTTTTGAGATTGATGGTCTCAGGTGGAACAGTCACTTACATAAAGCTAATATGGATATACAACTTGTTTTATGTTGAGGTGTTAACAAAAAGAAAGTAAGCAAATTTCCGTAGCAACGTTAATTTAAAACGCATTGTCAATTTGTTTTGTATGTTACAACATTAGTTGTCAATATTTTAATTTGAGTTTGAGGTTCGTTAACTTCAAGTCTGACAAATGGTTAGATTAACGGAAATGCATAAAATAACAGTTTTATAAATGATTGATTACAGAGATGAAACTCGAACAGAACAGGAAGCAGCTCGCCTGCTGCATGAGGAAATTCCTAATTTACCGCCCATATCTCACGGAACAATAAAAAAAAACAGTGAAGCAGTTTCGCGAGCTTGGTCATATGGGGCAGATAAAGAAAGCAGCTGCCAATGCAATGAGTGAGGAACTAAAATTAGATGTGATGCTTGAAATTGAGGAAAACCCGCATATATCGAGTAGACAGGCATCCACTACATTCAATGTAAGCCATATATCGATAGTAAACATATTAAAAGAAAATAAAATGCATCCCCATAAAATGATACCTAATCAGGAGCTCATGGAAGAAGATTTTGATACAAGAACTTATTTTTGTGGGAAAACGATGGACATGTTGGATAACCCTATCATCCAATTAGAAGACGTTATGTTTTCTGATGAGTGTAATTTGTCTCTTAACTGTCATGCTAATCGACAAAATTGCCGCTACTGGTCAACCGAAAATTCTCACTGGATGAGAGAAGAACACACGCAATGCCCTCAAAAGGTTAACGTTTGGGCAGGGATTGTAGGAACTCATATCATTGGTCCCCTTTTTATTGGGGGCAACTTGAATGGCGATAATTATTTGGCACTACTCCAAAATGATATCATTCCAAGTTTGGCAAATTCATATCCTGATCCAGGAAACCCTCAAGTTCCAGTGAATACGATATGGTTTAGGAAGGATGGAGCACCACCACATTACCATGTTAATGTCCGGCAATACCTCGATACAACATTTCCCAATCGGTGGATAAGGAGGCGAGGATCGATTGAATGGCCATCGCGATCACCTGATCTTTCATCATTAGATTTATTTTTATGGGGATATGTGAAAAGCAATGTATGCAAAACTCAACTTTCAGATTTGAATGACTCAAAAGAACGAATAACGCTTATGATTAGGTCGGTCACGCCTGATATGTTAAATAATGTTAGAAGACAGTTTCATTTGAGGTAGGATGTTGCCATGACGTTCGCGGCGAACATTTTAAATAACTACTTCGTTAACATCCATAGTTCTTTTTTGAATTCTATTTTTCATTACATTTTAGTTTTTGAGTGTATTTCATCGAATTTCGGTAACCACATGATTTTAACTTATTTTATCTCAATTGTTGCAATAAATTTGAAAGCGATAACATTTTTGAATAGAGAATGAAAAGACCTTTCAAACGATATACCACAAACCTATACTTCCTATTTAAAAAATTGGGGGTTGTACATGTCATTCCAAGAGGGTTAAAGGTAGAGGTGGTATTTTTACGTTGAAGAATGTCAAATAATAAGTTACATCTGACGTCGTTCAGGATTTTTTAAATATGTACAGTAACCGAAATAATGAATTTATTCCATTTGTCTTTTACACACTGTACATTCCAGAGCCAAACTTGTTTTAATGGAGACTACACATACCTTCCAATTGAAATTTTCGGTCCTTCATTTAACATTACTGAATAAATGCCAGACGCTACAGGTGAAATACAAGATTTAAATGTATGTATTTGTATGTATTCAAATGCCCATTTCATCTTTTCTGAATCCATCACTTTCTCTGCCAGTTTAAGTACCCCAAGTTCGGAATCGGTTCAGGACATCACGACATCAGATTTGTGATTTTTGACCCGGTGAAGTGCATCCGAGAAATGTTTCTTTAGTGTATACTCATGTTTTTGTTTGTTTTCCTGTATTTGTTTCCATATCTGAAGTTTACACGTTCATCATCTTTCCCAAGAGTATCCAAGACCATTATTCTTGTTGTAGAAGTTTCATTCACTACTGTTTGCGTATTGTGCATAATAAGTTTTTGACGGCGATCACACAATTAATGAATACTCTATCTCGATTCTGATTCGATATATCTTAAAACAATGCTTATTTTCAGGTTCTCAAATTATGGGACATAACAAGTAACAAATGTTTTCAAACTCTCAAACTGAAATATCCTTCATTCCGTATCAAAGGAAAAACAATCGAGTTTGGAACGAAAAATATATATCCAGGACCAAAAAGAAAAGCACATGGGTGTCCCGAGTCAGATGGAAATGATCAATTCAGGGAGAATTTTGGAATAACAGATGTTGTAAAACGCAGAGAATGCGTGAATGATACATACGAGTTAGTATCTGTCGTTTGAATAAATACTGAGTATATGGGCGCAAACGATCTGAATATAATATCGCCATGGCTTCAATATCATAAATTAACGCTGAACTTCCAACAGTTACCTCATGTATTCAAGTAATATTTCATTGTGAGACCTTCACAGTACAGTTTACGAAGCCATAACACGTATTTCACTATACAATACCTTCCTCAAACACGCCTGAGGTAGCTTTCCATCAGGCGTGTTGGGATTTTATGAAATGTTAGTGAAAATCTCACAATGAAGTGGTAGTTTAGGTTAGGTCCAAAGTAAGTGGGTCTATTCGACCCTCCACCGCAATCCGCAAGGGTTTATTGTGGCTCACACCTATTCTCAGTCGGCCAAACAAACCCAGCTTCTTAATGACGCCGATTAGTTCATATGGTGAGTGGTCTTTCAGCTCAGATGGTGAGAGTACGGCTCTGTCGAACTCTAAAGACCTGATTTGGTCCCCAGCGGGACAGGCACTAAGTATATACTCTGTTAATGAGGTAGTTGAATAGTCAAGTTGCAAGATTTCCACCTTGATACCCACGACAACCTTCCCATATGAGGGTTTTTGTACGTCAGCTACACCTGACGACGCCTAAAATTCAGCCGTGCAGGGCTTTTTCGCCTCTGGTTTTGGTGAAACCTCACTTGAGCACAAACGTTTGCTAACCTGCTCATGGGGGGTTACTTCCCCCACCTGAGAAAGATTCTGCGTACGCCGCAGCTCTCGCCTCTGAACTAAATTTACAGAGAGGTCAATTGGAGTCGTAAACTCGACATCCATCTCCTCTGTAGACTCGTTCCTGAACTAAATTTACAGGGAGGTCCGTTGGAGTCGTAAACTCGACATCCATCTCCTCTGGAGAGTCGCTCCTGAATTGAATTTACAGGGAGGTCAGATGGAGTCGTTAACTCGACATCCATCTCCTCTGTAGACTCGCTTCTGTATTAAATTTTACAGGAAGATCAGTTGGAGTCGTAAACTCGACATCCATCTCCTCTGTAGAATCGGTTTTGATCTAAGTTTACAGGGAGGTCAGTTGGAGTCGTAAGCTCGACATCCATCTCCTCTATAGACTTAGCGTCGGAAAGATTTTTTTAAGTTTACTCTGTCCATAAAGGTCCCACGAGTAGCTAGGGAAAGAAGGTCAATAACGGCAGAGCCCCGCATTACCGTGACAAGGCGATGCTACGACGAGAGGGCGCTCGGTATCTCGAAGGTTTCGTAGAGACAGCTGATAGGCTCAGTGTCATTCATCCTCTCGGCACGGATACACACACCTTAGGATTAAGCCATCGTTGGGATGCCATTCAGTTAGGGAATAACAGAACCACAAGTTATTCTGTCATTTCCGTATTCAGCGGGGCTACATGGAAGCAGGTATCCGATGGCCGGTTTGCTCAACCCCCACATCCCAAGCCAATGCACTCACCGAAAACAGCATATACAGTGGTTCAGGCAGTGGAAGATGAACAAGGACAGCCAACCCGCCACACACAACAACAATAACAACAATAAAGTGTTACTTGAATACGTTATGGATGATTTACCATCTGGGCTGAAAGGTATCGGGCCTAACATATAGATGGCGCTAGCAATCACTGCTTTTTCAGTTGATACCAACCTGTAAATTAAGCTGTGAAATTTAATGATACTCTACCCATAAGTTTGTGAGTTATCGTTATTTTCGAAACAGTGGATCAAAAACAAATTCGTGTTTTAATTTGCACTGCTTCTTGATGGGAAAAAATACCGTTCAAGCAGAGAAATTGCTCGAAAAATATTTTAAGCACTCCGCTCCACCAGAAACAACCATTAAACGTTGGTATTGTGACTTCAAATTTGGTCATAGAGACACCAATAATAATGCAGAACGCAGTGGACCTCCAAATGAGGCAGTAACACCAGAAAACATCGAAAAAATTCACAAAATCGTTTTATATCATCGAGAGAAGTGTAGTTGCGTGAGTTAGCTGAAATTGTATAGATATGAAAAGGACGTGTTGGCTTTATATTGCATAAGCATTCGACTATGAGAAAGCTCTGTTCAAAGTGGCTGCCGCCCCAGCTCGCTGTTGACCAAAAACAAGAATGTTTTGATGTGTTCGGCTATGTTTGAACATAACAAACTGAAATTTTTGCATCAATATGTGACAATGGATGAAATATGGATACATCACTTCACTTCGGAATCAAAACGATCGTCATCTGAGTGGAGAGCA